AGCAGTTTGGCTGCAATGACCTCACCATTGCTGCACAAAGAGACATTGCACCTGATATCAGAGAAAATGTGAGTTAGTGATGAACCTGTGAAGAAAAGGAAAAGCCCAAAGAAATGACCTAGTACCACCTAAGTAACACATGTTCTCATAATTTATTTGAAGTTATGCAATTTTATGAGTTGTCAAATATTCTCTTTTAAGCTCCCCCCCCCCCCTCCCTCATTTAAAACCCCTGTTATTTCTCCTTTGCAAGTAAAAAACACATGAGTTGATTGTGATCTTATTAGATATACTAATTAATCAGCCTAGAATTCGACATTAGAAATTGAGAACAGTTGGCAATATATTGATATAAATATTGGCTTTTGTTTATGCATTAACCTTGGCATTGCACCCTGATGCACCCATCCCTACTTTATTATTTTACTCTAACACTAGACAGTTTTACCTATTAAGGGGAGAGTGCATTCCTATTTCTCATAGACATGTTGTAAAACGACATCATAAATTTGCAAAGCTTACATACATATCCAAACAATGAAAGCATTTTTATTACTCTATGTTTTGACCATTTGGAATGAATATGTTTGTCAGTTTGTGGTATTAATACTCTGAGTGTGCATCCCCAACAGACAAGCTTAAAAGTTTGCCTGACCACGGTTGGATTCGAACCTGTGACCTTTGGGATCCTAGTCCAATGCTCTGCCAACTGAGCCGAAGGAACTAAACTCAGTTCCGAAATATCACCAACTTGAACCGACATGACCTCATAGCTCAGTTGGCAGAGCATTGGACTAGTATCCCAAAGGTTGCGGGTTCGAATCCCACTGTGGTTAGGCGGACTTTTCAACTTGGCCGGTGTGGATGCACACTCAGAGTAACACCACAAACATCATATCCACCTTAGTACATAACACCAACACACACAAAAAGTATGGAATGAATGTAGTAATATGTATAGTAATAAAAATATTTACATTATTCAGAGTACCATTGTTGTATACCTCATCAGCAACACAAAGTATTTGCAATTCTTGATAATTTGTTATGGTATCCTTATCTGTGTGCAGCACCGGTTGACAACATGCTGCAAAATGTGTTGTAGAACATGGCACTGAGCCACAAGGTGTCTGTTTATCTGAAGTATGTTTTTCCAGGGGTTAATTGTGCACAATCAAAATTTGTTATAAACTATAAATTATTACATGGCGAGGAACATATTTGTGCATACACTGACAGTATTTACAACCGTCAACGTTCTAATAACATACAACTATTTAAAATATTCATATTGATAAAACAATCTAATAAGACTATCAGTTGTAAGAATTACTGCGAATGTATTTTCACAGGTGATTAACCTGCATGCTAGCAATACAGTGGAAATGCATGATTGTGGAATATTTAATCTTGTAGTTGATTAATGATAATTATCCTGGCCAGAATGTTGCTTTAATATGACAGTGAATGAACAGGTAGGCTTATTTTTCCACTTTGGCATTTTGCCTACTTTAGTTAACTCATATCAACTGCTAGAGTGTATCCTTTGCAAAACAGTGGTTTCCAACAATAGTCAAAATGCTAAAATGTGAAAAACTAGTTAGAGCATATATGTATCTGACCAGTGTACACCACCAAATTACCAATATCAACAGCAACTTCTGTCACCCTATTATTGGCATAAGTATGGTGTTGAAGTTTTTTTTTGTAAATGGCAGTTTCAAATGAAAAATATACATATCTATGTTTATATTAGACCTAATCGAGAGCATTTACCATATATGTAACTCTGGTAATCTGGTACACCTCTCATTTTTGGAGCCTACATATTGTTGCTGCAAGAGCTAATGTCAGTCGAGGTCAGAGTGTGGTATAATGATAACACATGTATAGTTTCCAATCATTTTCACAATTTACATGATTGTCAACAGTTTATGTTGCTGATATAGCTAATCTTTTCAGGCCCTTCCTTGTTCAGATAGTCCCTTGCATATAAAAGTATGACCTTCCTCAACAATTTGATGACATTTTCCAAGCACAATTTAGTTTGTCGTTGTGTTACACTCCACACTTTCGTTTATTTGTCTGGAAAAGTTTTGATACTATATAGCCTGCGACATACGACAAAGGTTCACGCTCAGCTTGGTCAAGTTTCAACAGAACTTAGCTTGAATAAAGCATCAAAACAAAGCTTTAGTGCATGATGCAGTCTTGGCGCTGTTGCTCATTTCAACCCCACACAATTTTTCTCTTATAATTTGCGACTTGATCGATTCCACAATCGACGCGACAGTATCGTAGCAAAAATATGCAATTCTGGTCATGTTTGCTGGGAAGAAAATTCGCAATGCTTCGAATTCGTGTGTCTGGTTAAGCCGCCTTTAAATTAATAGTCAACTTTAGTACACAATTTGTCACACTTTGGACAAGGGAACGATTTTTCACCATGTATTTCGCTCAAAGCGTCATTAAATTCGTCCTATATATCCTCTCATTCAGCCTGCGTAACAGCCACGGTAACTTCTAGATTATAGTCTTCATTTTCAGAATCTTCTAGGTAAATTTCAGACTCGCTTTGGCTTGATCTGTTCATACCGTGTGCCATACTCGATACGAGGGTCAAACAACCTCGGTGCTTTACGTTCGATTATTTTGTTCTTGAGTCATTATAATTTGATATTTTTCCTGTGGGATGTCCATAAACGCCGTGTATCCATAAAAATATGCTTTCAACTTGCGAAAAAGGTATAAAAATCGCTTAAATTTTGCAAAACACACTAAATCTCTTAATGTTTTCTTAGTATCACTCCTTGTTGATGCAGGTATCGTACCACGTGACATTTATTTTTGGGGTTCCCAACATAATTTCAGAGACCCTTTGAAGTTTGCCGGCTAGCCTAACCAGTCTCCTTCGATTAACCGTGGTGGGCCTGACTCCCATGAGGGGCTACCATGATTGGCACTGAGCAGGGAAATTTTGAGTCTCTGGATCATTGGAAATGGCATTTTCAGAGTCTTTACCTCTTTGGCATTATGATTTGTGAGTTTATGGTATTTGCAATTATAGAAATCAGAACTCTATACATGGTATTTAAGTTCAAAAACTTTTTTGACCCTCCCCCTTTCTCTAGGTTAAAATTTTTTTGACCCCCCTATTTATAAGGGTAAAACTTTGTTTGCCCCCCTCTACCCTCCCCATAAATAATCTGTGTTGCCCTCAAATGCACCTACCAGGGGCATAAGTTGATCATGAAGTTGCCCATTAAATGCACCTACCAGGGGCATAAGTTGATCATGAAGCGCACAAAGAAGATGTCATTGCTTCTTTTCTAGGACATTATATAAAAAATTTCCCAAATGGCAGAAAGTAACAATATGAATGGCACCTATGGGAATGGGAAGGCGGGACTTTGCCCTGCATGACCCAGGCGTTCCTTCCTGGTATTCCTGTACTAAAAACCCCACGTTTTTCGCAAAATCCTTCAAATAAGACATCTGGGTATATGGGATGATACGTGCCATACATGACATGCAAGTTTCAAACAGAGTAAAAATTGTAGATAACAGGGTAAAATAAAATTCTTGTGTTTAATTAAAGGAATACATAGCGAAGATAAACAAAACCCCAACACGATGCTTCAGTTGGCAAGCAATAAAGTCGTTTTCTCATGGAGATGCATTCGAATGTTACGTCCCACAAGTAAGAAACGCACAAAAAAAATACACTTTGTTAATCAAGGTAATGTGTCCGTAACATCGCCGTTTCAACTGCAGCTCATGCCAACAAATGCAGCTCATGCCAGCTCATGCAAATAAATCTGGTCGAAAATGCGTTGTTCATTCCCCCTTCAGGGGTGTCTACCTAAATTTTGTTAGAGAAATAAACCAGTTTGTAGCAAGAAAACTTCGGCCAGATCAGCCAAAGACCATCCAGTCTTAGATTTATTCTAAATGTTGGTAAATCACATGATGGCTCTGTGTATCTCGGTGACGACGAAAACCAGGGTAATCATTGGAGCATATGTTATCTTGACAAAGACAAAGGAACAGGAACATACACAATCTCACTTGCATACAATGTTCCCTAAAAGAGAAGATTACAGAATTCTATAAAGATATATACGGTGAAGAAATGAGCGGGTTCTCTTTTAAGAAATGTCATGATCATTTGGGCAGAAAGTGTGGACCAACGTGTGCAAGATCATACCCACTACAAACGCAAAGCTCACCAGGTTTTTCTTCACAATGCCTCCTAGATATGCAAAATACCTTAGAATGGTTCTATGTACATGGATTGTTGAAAAAACTGTTAACATAGAGTATGTGTTACCAAAAGAGAATTTGCATGGTTCCATTTCCGGTGATTCTTCTTCAACGTATTCAGCATCAAACGTGAAATGTGCACCTTCTACATTAACTAACAATCCTGAGTTGCTAAAAGGTTGCGAATTTCCCTCACGATCTGATGAGGGAACAATCTCCAAGTATGTGTCTTTCCAATGAAAAGTCAAAAGAACTAAATGCTAAAAAAGATGAACAAAAGCTTAAGAAGGTGAACAAAACCAATAACACTTCTCAAAACAAAGCAAAGGTAAATGCAGATACCAAAACGTCTTATAGTGCCAAAGGGTGTAAAAATGACCTGAATGTAGCTAATCCCCCTGCCCGAAATATACCGGATTCGACCAAAAAACAAAAATTCTGGAAATCCTGTTAAAGATTCTGGAAAAGTTCACAAATGTCCTCATTGCCAACAAACCTGCAAAAAATTATTCAATTTGAGAAGGCACATTTCTAGATATCACCGAAACATTGTTACCGACAATAAAGAAGATGAAACAGCACCAAGACGATGTACCTGTCTAAATTGTGATTTCAAGTGCCACTAAATTACTGACCTAAGGGTCCACTTACAGAAGGCCCATGGCACAATAATGAACACTACTACAGAGAATTTTAACACAAATGCGGGTACGTATAAGCAATTCTTCAAATTGAACGAGTACTTAATATTATAAGTTGTATTTAATAATAGGTAAATCAATATGTTATGATTAGATTGAAACTAGTTACAGAAGCAAATTTCTTAAATGAAACGAAATAGTACAGCTTTTATCAGGTAATACCATTTTATATTCAGCATAATATGTGTACCATGCATTGTGATTAAAATTTTACTTTTTGTACTAATTTGAATAGAATTTGATAAGTGGAAGTTGAAAGTTGAGGACAAATACTGCTGTAAGTTTGTCAAGCAAACAGGTGAAAGATTGGACAGCCATGATGAAAAGGTGACATACTATCAATATAATCGAAGTGGGACCTACAAACCGAAACTATCAATGAAGCGGCACACAAAATCTCAAGGTTGTTAGAAATTTTGTAAATACTATATAGTTTCAGTTAGTCTTTGTCACTATCAGTGGTTTCACCTACAGAGGCGGATTTATATTCTGGGTTTTTGCTTCTAGCTTTAGGTAAAACCATTCGTAATGACTTTATAATGTTTGTGCACCTACTTGCTCTATACCTTAATTGTAACGAACATTCTCACACAAATGAATGGTTAATTGTTATATTACTTATCAACATGCAGGCACCAGGAAAATCTGCAATAACTTGTACTTCAACCATAAAGCGAATTGAGGATAAAGATGGGAGCATAACTGCAGAAATTGTTGAAACTCATTACGACCATAATTTAGAATTACAACATGTACCAATACCTGACGATAAAAAGGAGGAAATTGCCGCCAAGCTCCAGCAAGGGATATGTAATGAAAGGATCATTGACGACATTAGGAACAGTTGCAACAACGGTATAAAATGCCGTCATTTACTAGAGAAAAAAAAAGTTGCGGAACATATCTTCTTGTTTCAGTATTGAAGGTGCTAGAAAGCATGCATATGACCAACAAGCGTACATGCTTGGATAACTGAATGGGAACAGTCTGAAAGCAATCCAGTTTTTTGTTCTACCATCTCCAAGGACAGGACTACAGACGAGGAGGACCTGAAATTGACAAGCGATGACTTTATCGTTATATTACAGAGCCCATTTCAGAAGACTTTGGCAAAAAAACTTGCGCACAAAGGTGTTTGCTGCGATGCCACGCATGGCACTATTGCATATGACTTCAAGTTAACCACTCTGCTTGTTATAGACGAATTTGACGAAGGGTCACCAAATGCATGGTGTTTATCAAATCATGAAGATTTTACACACATGTACATGTTCTTTAAGATGATCAAACGTAACTGTGGGCGTCTAAGCCCGAAATGGTTTATGACAGATTTACAATGCCCCACAGTTTTACAATGCCTGGGTAGCCATAAACATCGGCAGTCGTCCACAATAGCTTTACTGTACTTGGCATGTGGACAAGGCATGGAGAGAAGAGCTAAGAAAGAAAATCGGGAATCTAGACAGAGTCAGAGGTATATAAAATGTTGCGAACAATTCTTGAACCAGATGAAAAAAGTTTTGATGAACACTTAAATATTTTCACGAGCAAAATTAGTGAAGTAGATAATGCGGCAGAGTTTTAAGTACTTCGAAGCCTTTAAGCACGATTGGGTTCCTAGAAGACGGAATTGAGCTTACTACCACAGAGGAGGCATTTCATTTTTTGAATTGTCTCAACCTTTTCTGAATTGAAACTCTGGTTTATATTCATTTACGAGCATACTAAACCAGAACAGTGTTATATATTCAGTTGGTATATCATATTTTACAAATACAGGGTTCGAAATAACGGTTCGTGATTCGTGAATCACGAATCAATTTTCATTTTTCACAAACCCAATTTCATAGAAATTGATCAAAATCACGAATCAAAAGTCTCTCAAATTGATAAAAATATACAATAATAAATTCAGTTCTTTGTAAATGTGATGAAGGATCATATATTCTGAAAATATTGTTGTTATGTCTCAATCAATTCCATGGTTGCCCCCCCCCCCGGCGTTGGTCGGGCATTCTCAACTGTACTTGTTCCCAGGGTCGGGCATTTGCTTTCTGCAGGTTAGCCCCGGGGTGGGGAATTTCCTCAAGGCTAAAAAGTCGAATATTTACTGCTTGTTTCGCCATTTAAGCCGTACTTTAGTACGTATGTTTACACGAGCGTGCGTATTGCAAATTAATCATGGCGGACATACACAAGACTTTTTTCTTGTCCATCCTGTTGATATATTATTTGACTTACTTCTGCAGTTTGATATTGCTATATAAAGTTTTGAGACTTCAATATTTTAATTAAAAACGTTTTAAAACGAAATGGCTATAGAATCGATTTTAAATACAGATATATTCATACGTGATAGAGCTTGGATTCCATTTTTTGGATCAGAAATCCTCAGAAAACTTATATTTTGTCCCCCAAGGGTGGGGCATTTGCGTCAATGTAAGTCCCCAAGGGTGAAAATTCCTTAAAATTTACTTAAAATAAAAAAATTAATTCACGAACCATTTTTTCAGAATTAATTTGAACCCTGAAATATAGCAGTTTGAAATGTAAACAAAGCGTTTGTTTACATTATGGACTTGACAGCACCTTTAATAATAATGAACAATCATTACCAACTTTTTGTTTAATAAGTATTTATTTATTGGCAAAACTTTTTTATCTGGATCTTCAGCTGAGTAATAATATTCAAGAGATCATAGGACTGATATGAAGATCCAGGATTACAGATTGAAACTTGAAAGCTTTATAATTTATATTATATAATTTTATAAATTTATACATGTGGTGTTTCAACAAACCAAAAAGTATATATACAACTTTATACTTGCTCTAATTTGCATGTTAAAAACAATAATTTTTTGCAATGTAACACCACATAATACTACCATTACCTATATAACAACCAAATGTTTACAGTGTTTTCATTTTGTACTGTATAAATGTCACAAAATCCTAATTGACACAATTGAAGTATCAAAAATATTCTGGCCTGAATCACATAGTTATTTTCCCATAGTAAAGGAAATGAAGAAAGATTGGCAGTGTAGACATTCCAACACTCGCGATTTTACTGGGAGTCTCCCGAAAATTCATGCAATCTCCTGGTCTCCCGATTTTTATCAAATTCTCCCGATTTTTCAAAATGTTCAGCAAATATCGTAAAAAAATCATAGATGTACTGTTTTTAGCAACATAATAGTCTGTCTTGACCTTTTTATGAAGTTATGCATGAGTCAATTCCAGGGGTAACCATCCCCCCCCCCCAGCAACACACCCGGGCATTTGATTTGATTGGTTATGATAGTGTAAATGCCCGGGTGCCGGGACACAACTTGACGACTAATGCACAGCCCCTGGGCAAGCTGAGAGTGGAAAATGTCCCACCCCGGGGACGATTTTACAGTCGATTAATTTTACGAAACTTTGACCATAAATGTTCCGAACTTTGTTGCAAAGTTTGCAAGTTTGTTGCAAAGTCCGGAAGTTCATATTGGAATTCACAAGCCAATTTGTAAACAAAGTCCCTGATTGGTCCATGAAGTAAAAGAAGCCAATCAAATGCGTAGTTTACGAACTGGTTTGTGAATCTCATTATAAGTTTTGAACTTCGCAACAATCTTGTGAACTTCGCAACGAAATTCGGAAAATTTGTGGTCAAAGTTTTGTGAAACCGACTGTAAACGTTAATTAAACTTTTAATTGCATACAATCATAGTCATTTAATAACATTATAGTATTAAACTGCTATGGAATATTATAAAACATAAACCTTTAATAGTTGTATTTAAATTTGCATGGCACAGGGTATAACTTTAGCTTATTCTTACAATAAATTTCACACCACCTTGACCACGAGGGCGCAAATTACGATCAGCGCGCCCACATGCTTGCCTGAAACTATGTTTTGCTGCCTTAAAATTTGTGGGTGGGATTCTGGGCAACCATTTGTCAAATCCCCGGGGTCCTCCAATACCCGGCCCCCGTGCACATATATGAAAGACAAATTCCCGACCCCCGTGAACTGTCTATCGGGCAAATTCCCGGGGGGGATGGTTACTCCAGGAATTGACTCATGCATTACTTTATGGCAATTTACAACATATTCCTAAAATACAGGAAATGCCATTTTAGAAGACTTAATTTTTATTATTTTTTCCCATAAGAACTAGATTTCAATTCACTGAACAGTCTCCCTAAATTTTACCTCGAGTAGTTGGAATGTCTGGCAGTGCCACAAGTGCAAGGAATCAAAGTATGTCAATATGATAGAATGTGATCAGTGCAGCAACTGGTTTGATTGGCAAGTCATACATAATCTCTCAAACTAAGAGGATTTTTAGGTTGTTACTAGATGCTACTTCCTGTTTGTTTCTCACCCTGAATTAACGTCTGCATCACAGTGGCAAAAATTCCATACTGATTGTAATGATTTTGCATAATTTATATGGCATTAGCATATGGTCACACAGCTGCAGCATTGCATGTGCACTTCTGCAGTTGACAAGACATTTGTAAAACCTAGAATCAAATAATTTTATAAAATATACTTTCTATCTTTATCAATCTGGTCTACAATATACTTCTCATTGGTTGTTCAATGATCCGATGAATTAATTATAATGATAATTCCATTTTAATTGAAGTTTTTTGGGCCATTCCATTTAATATCCACACACCCCTGTTGACAAGTGATTTTCCGAAGGGGTCTGAAAATCTGAATTTCTGAGGGGGTGGCCAAATTGAAATGTTCGAGGGGTGTTGTAAAAGGAAAATTTCTGAAGGGGTCAAAATTTTTTTGTAATTTTTGAAGGGGTCAAATGTTTTTTTTTAATTTCAGAGGGGGGGGGGAGGAGAAAGGTACTACCTGTTGATGAAAATTTCTGAGGGGGTGGTCAATAAATTCCCAAAAATTTCAAAATCATAATGAAAAAGTTGTAAATAGAATTTTTTTCTCTAATCCTAACTCTAATGCCAATCAAAAGCTGGAGCTTTCACACAAATCACACAATTTCGATCACAATTATGAATAAAAATATTATCTCGAATATAAATTTTCAACAAGACAACATTACAACTTGACGAAGATACGAAGGTTGAGGAAGAGCTTTTAACTGTAGAAAAATAGATCCGGTAACTTAGCAACAGTAACAAACTTACATCCGGTTGGCTATAATTACATAACCAGCCGCCATTTTGAAAATTTTGATTTTGTTATATTCACCTGTAGATGAATATAACAGATTAATACGTCACATTTAACCAATCACCTTGTAGGATTTGTTATGTTCACTTGTGCAAAAATACTAATGCTATATGTTGCTGTATTAAAAGCAGATTAACATAAATTTTCATAAATACAATTAATACAAAAATAATAATGCAAGCAGTACTATAGCACTGGCAGTTTTATGTAATAGTATTTCAAAGTTTTTTGATGTTTCAATCTTTTGTAAACTTAAGGGTAATTCCATGGTGATGGACGTTACATTCAAAGGATTATTTTGAGGCAAATTCTTGTATCGCTCTTTACTTATAAAGTATATGTCCATATAATTTTTTTTGTGAAAGTAGACAAGCACAATAACTATCAACTGGAAAAGTCTATTCAATTGAAACCTGCAGTAGTCAGCTACAATTTTTATTTGAATGTGTGTGACAGGCGGTACACAAAATGGACAAGGTTTTTCACTCTGAAATTTGCGACTAATTTTCTCTTCAAATGATAGCATCTCAGAAAAAAATTTCAGTACATAACTTTCAACATTATATAAAATTTTAAATATTGAATGTCATTTGATGTTATTGATGTCAACTTGGGTTCTCCTCGGGTACTCCTGTCGAACATGTTAATATTTATGATCACCTAACGCCGCGTCTCCAGACACTATTGTATGAAGCAAAACAATTTAAACAAGCCAACAACTACAAATTTTGTCGGGCTAAAAATGGCCAGGTTTATTTACGCCAAACTGACAATTCAAGCATTATCAAACTACTGAAGCATATTGGAGATTTGGCAGCGATCGATCCCACATGCCAGAGCTAAGTATTCAATCTACGCTAAAACGATTATTGTAATATATCATGTCACATAACTCAAAATGCCTTCAATTACTCGTAAGGATAGTAGAAATGATATTATATCTTTATTTCAAGAGTTACCCTATAATAATGTAAATATTCTTGAATGCCATGGACAATTTAATAATAGTATCGCCACAAATTTACCCACAAAAAAAGAACTAGACAAGTTATGTAGTATTTATGACTTAGACTTATTTAATCTAAACATGAAAACGAACATAAATCCAGATTGTAATCTATCATCTCAAACTCATTAATAATTCATGAGCAAATTAGCGAATGAACTCACCCTAATTCGTCACATGATTGAGGTTGGATACCGCAAGGAAACACGCTAAAAATCATATACCATCACTGTTGTTAGATGAAAAACGGTTTTCATCTAATAACTGAGATCCTAATTACAAATTCAAGTCAAAACACAACAATATACTATAATAATATATAT